CGACAGCAACTTGTCTGTTCCCCTTCCCCCAATTCCCCAGCACTGTTCCCATCCCCCCAATTCCCCAATAAAAATCTTAAAAAAAAAATAAATCAATGGGGAAAAGTAAATATGTATGATAATGTTATGTGGAAAAAGTACACCTTCCTTCTCTCATACATATATTACACAAAATGATGGGTATACCAACTACAAATATGGAAACATATACAGGTAACAACTAAATATGAAAAGAGCAGACTGCAATTATAAGTTACTCTTTTTCTTCCAATGCAAGAAATAAAAAACCTTTTTGCCACAACTAAATTTCAATTAAATAATTAAATGTTTCATAATAGCTTATAAAAATAACTTTTAAAAAGGAGCCTTTTAAAAGGTAAGAGACTAAAAATACATGAAACATACAACTGGGAAACAAAACTACCGTTTATTGAATAATTCTTATGTATTGGCACTGAGCTTATTAGTTAAGGCATATAGTGAATATATTTATATTTAATCATCTATGACATAGGTATTATTGTTCATACTATGCAGAAGAAAAATTAGGCTATTATTTCACCTCCTAAAGTTTTTTCCCAAAAGCCACCTTCTTAATGAGGCCTTTTCTGGTCAACCCATCTAAAATTATAAACCTATACTCTCCTGAATTCCTTATCTGTCTTCTCTGCCTTAATATTCTGCACAGCACATATCACCCATACTATGTAATTTACTTATTCCAGCTCACCCCATTAAGATATAAGTTCTACAGGGAAGGGATTTTTTTCTGTTTGTTCTCTTCTGAAACCCAGCACCCAGTAAAGGTCCTAGCATAGACTAGATATTAAAAAATATTTAATGAGTGAATGAATGAATGAATGATGAATGAATGAATGAATGAATGAATGAATGAATGAATGAATGATGAATGAATGAACAATGGAATGTACTGGTGAGTTTCTATAAAGTGGTCCTAAAAGTCTGTTCAACTCAAAGCCTTTGCACACCTTTATATTAGAGTTACTGAGTGTGTGTGTGTGTGTGTGCGCGCGCGTGTGTGTGTGTGTGTGTGTGTAGCATAAAAATTGATCTGGAAAGATGAAATTAATAAGACTGGTGGCAAGGAACTAGGGAATACAGGTGAGAGAGAACATCTTCTGCCTAGAGAAAGACAATGACATTCTTTAAGATGTACACAAAATGTGGTTATTATCCTTTTTTACTTATTATAGAATATGATGATATAGGGTCTTACAGCTTTGAATGTGAGAGGACAGACAACTAAAGCTGAAATGCATGATAAACTGAGCCTAAGCTAAGACATGTTCTCCCCCAAGGACTTCTTTTGAGTTCTAACATTATATGGAGAGGGAGGCTAAAAACTAATCAGGAAACCTCTGAGGAGCAAAGTAAAGATTTAAGCCGCCCCAAAGAAATGGAGTTCAGGTCCCACCAGGAAGAGGGAACCAACTGGTAAATACACCCAGGCTCGTGTGGAATACATGGAAAGCTAAGTCTTTGGAGCAAAGGCAAAGCAGAGATAGTCTGACCCTTACTAGAACTGTACCTCTGCCTTGTCTCAGAGACGATTACCATTCCCACCCCAAACCCCTCCCCCCGACACGTGCACACACACACTCTATCTCCTTACTGGACAGAGATAACAGCACCCAAAGCCTTTTGTAGTTGGCATACAAAATGTCTGGCACTCATTCAAATTATGGCAGCAGGAGAGATTCAACCAAATAACCATAACCAGAGAAAACATCAAATGGTAGAAACAATCTAAAGTTGATACAGATAATGGAATTAATTCAAGTCTTTATAACCTATGATTAATATGTTCAAGAAATAGAGAAAATGATGGCAGGTATAGATATTTTTAATTGAGAATTCCACCAAAAGAATTATAATCTAAAAAGAAATAAAACAAAAATTTTAGAATAGAAAACTACAACAATTAAGGACTCAACAATAATATTGTAATAACTATGTATGATGTCAGATGAGTACTAGACTAGTCAGGGGGCTCACTTCTTAAATTATATAAATGTCTAACCACAATGCTGTAGACCTGAAATTAATATAAAATAATACTGAATGTCAACTGTAATTGAAAAATTAAAAAGGTGGGGAGAAAGGTGAAGGAGAATAAACGGTCCAAATTTCCAGGTATAACACAAATAAGTCATGGGGATATAATATACAGCATAGAGAATATAGTCAATAATATTGTGATAGCATGGTTACTGGACTTATCATGGTGATCACTTCTTTAGGTATATAAATGTTGAATAAAGAGAAAAGCTCACCAAAGCAAAAAGATGTGTCATTAGAGACCAAGGCTAGGATCATCTATACCCTCATATTCCCAATTACCATGTACTGATGCGAAAGCTGGACGATGAAGAAGGCTGATAGGAAAAAATTGATCCATTTGAAATATGTTAATCAGCTTAACAATAACCCACAGCCTTTGGACCTTTTCTTCTTCTTCTTTTTTTTTTTTTTAGCTGAACCATCCTGCCACCTGTTGGCAGCTCAGCTTGGGCCAGGAATCAAACCAGCGACCCTGTTGCTCAGAGCTCACACTCTTGAGCGAGCTCTTAACCAACTGAGCCACTCGGCCGGCCCCCGCATTTGAAATATGGCATTGGAGGAGAGCTCTACGGATACCCTGGACCATGAGAAAGATGAACAAATGGGTCCTAGAGCAAATTAAACTCAAAACATCACTTGAGGTAAAAATGACAAAAACTGAAGCTGTCCTACTTCGGGGACATCAATGAGAAGGAAGTGTTCTTTGGAAAAAAACAATAATGTTAGGAAAAACAGAAGCAGCAGGAAAAAAGGAAAACCAAATATGAGATGGACTGACACCATATTGGAAGCCACAGGCATGAGTTTACAGGAGCTGAGCTGGGATGTTGTGGATACAATGTAGGACATTGTGGACATCACTCCACAATGACAGTGGCCAGCAATCGACTAAACAGCACATAACACACACGTGACAGCAGAGTTTAAGTTGGGCTCAGCTCATATACTCCATATAGCATTATAGTATAATTTTTGAAACTATTCTGACAAGAAAACCTTACCTTTCTCATCATTTGTTGAGAAAGCCACCTAGAAGGCTTCTCTAAATTTCAATTACCCTGGCTTTTGATTATCCAGAGTAGGAACTATAAAATTAATTTGTAGTGAGAGGACACTAAAACTGTTAGGAAAAGCTGTAAAGTTACCTTCTGGCATTTTGCCATTAGAAATAAAGCTCTCACTATAAAACTTTTAAGTTCAAGAAAAAAAACATTGCCTATACTCAGAAGATACACCACTTTTCTGTCCTTAAACATCTGGACCTGAAGGATTTTTTTAAAGTCTGTATTTGTGGTCTTGATTTTTAGGAAACATTTTAAAAGGCCTTCTTATAATATCTGAAAAGCTAACACACACGTTGCACAAGTGTTACTCTGTGTGCTACCTTTAGGGTGGGCAAAGTAGTCAAACCTGAGTGTTGGCTTCTGGGAAGTGGTCCGAGGGACCCCACATTTTTCCCAGGCATCTCTAACCATCACCTTTTTCATAAGTGAGAGCTCACCACATTTCAAGAAAACAGCTAAGACTAAATTCTGGGAACTTGAGGTGGTTACAGCACCAATTTAGTTTCTTCAACAAGAACTTAGAGAAAGTTCTTCCAACAACAACAAAATACAAGACAAAACGGGTAACATTTTAAAAAATAATGCTCACCTTAGAATATTTCTGTAATTCAGCATCATCTGCAATCTGTGTGTCCAAAGTAACAACCTAAATTTACAAGAAAAAAAAATATTTCCAATATTTGTAAGGCATAGCTTTATTTCTTCCTCGGTTTCCTGAAAAAAAAAATCGGTAAAATCTATGTTCCATCTGACAGAATGCATCTGAGCTACATTCTAATCTCTTTCCTATTATTTTTGAACTCCATAAGTATAACATACAATGTAAAATTTCACAGAATATGTGCCTTTTTGTAGTTATTGTTTTCCACAGCAATCTTTTTTTCCCTAAATTATTCAAAATATGAACCAGAAGGTGATGGACAAATACATATGCTCTTTTTAAAAATCTATGCTCCCTAAAATTTTAATATAGTCCTCCATTATATTGAATCCATAAAAATTTTATTTTTGACAAAACCAAGGGTATGGTCCTTTTTGCTTTTAAATTCAAGCCTTGAAACAAAGTTTGCAAGGTCAGTAAAGTCAGACAAGTGTGGAAAAACTGAAGCGTCTGACTTTCCAAAGCAAGCTCAGACCGTTTCCCTAGGAGAAATAGCTGGCAAGAACACAAACAGAAAGGTCTGGACTGGTGGGAAGCCCATGGAATACTTGCAGCTTTTAATCCTGGCCTAAAACTATTGTTCTAAGTTTCAATGGTAGACAGTCACAGAAGTGGATGTCTTGCAAGCAAAATACTTTACTGATGATTTGCATCTGTAAGTTGTTAATAAAATATGGTGCATCTGGAGGGAGGAGCGAAGTTAAACAATGATCCAACTAAAGCTTTTAAAAGTACTGCACTGCAGACAAGTCGATTCTGGAAGGACGTAAAGAAGAAACGTTGGAGTACATACATGCAGGCATTCATTCACCGAGCCTGGCTCCTCCTTGCCCTCAGAACAAGTTACAACTCTTAATGAGTACGGTGTCACTTTAAATTTCCAACTTCCCTCTTTCTAGTCCCTCTGTTATTACTTTTCCATGTGATAAAATGAAATTTGAGAGGGTCGTGATAAGGAGGATACAATTTTAACAAAAAAGAGCCCATCACAAAACTTGCCATTTATAAACACTGATATGCCAAATTACTTTAAATATCAAACCATTAAGGATAGAATAAGTCATTTGCTAGGTGATAGCCTAATGACAAAACAGCATTCAGAATCTATGAAGTAAAGAAGCAGTAGTTCATAAGGACTGACATGCAGGTACAAAATCAGCAAGAAGAGAAAAAGTATGAAATGTTCTGACTCATCTTAAGAACATTGGAAAATATCTCACAATAAATAGTGGCTGATTACTCTGAACCAAGAAGAGAAAAAAGATCTCCAACCAGTCAAGTACTAATGATAAACATATGTAAGAAAATGTGAATGACAATAGAAATTTAATAGAATACTTTATTACTAACGCATTTAGGGAACACTATAGAGGCTTTTCTGAGCACAGCCTTTCTGCTGTCATGTGGATTCATATGGGGAAATGTAATCAATCCCTTACTCAATGAATCTTAAAACAGGTGAAAGGAAGTCTAATGGACCACTGGCACTATAAACTTATACCTAACCTAAATTACTTCCTGTTCTACCAAATACAGTTGATAATCATTCTTTCATTTTTCTCATAAAACTGTAAGATTCTCTGTGAAACATAGGGCTAATATCCACAGCCCTTTCGGTGTACAATAAAACAAACAGATCATAAAAACAATCATAAAAATGCCAGCAAATTTTAAGCAGCTGATACAGGTTATAAATTTAAAAAGCAAGCCCTCTCTCTCCCTCCTAACATTTTTCTGCCTATTGTCGACTAAAATGGTTTCAACATGAACTGAGTGTCTGCTAATTTAACTGAAACGTGTGTGCAGTCCTTAATTGTTCTTACAGCTTAAATGCTTTTAAAAAAAATTGATTGATTTAATAGGAATAAAAAGCAGGAGGGAAAAATAAAGGCAGGCTGACTACTCTTTGACTCTCCTATTTCTTTAAATTGTAGAGTTAAGGGCTTGACATGAAATGAGACTTGAGTGTTTTTTATTCAACGATTTTAACATACCATTACTTCATAGTCAGGGCCCAAGAGCTTTTCCCATCTGGATTTCAGTTCATTTTCTGGAGAGTCAGGGGCTCTTTCTGGATTAAAAGAAAAAAAAAGAATGTTAAAGCTACTGTGAGCCAAACACACTTAACTACTAAATTCTTCAATAACAGCAGTTTCAGTTAAGTAAAAGGGAAATACATAAAAAGAAAAATGCATTAAATGAAGTCTACTAGGTAAAGTAAATCACAGGTGACTTACAAGGCTAATGTAAAATGTAAAGACCGGCAGTGACCAAATTACGAAGGAGCTTTTGTTGTTAAGGAATATTGAAAAGGGAAGAGGAAATGATGAGTTATAAATGAAATCTGAATTATATACGGTTTATATGTAAACATCCTGTAGTTTACAAGGAAAACGCATCTGGCTTTATAATATATTTGGACAAACGAGGATTTGATTTAAATGTTAATCACTTCAAAGTATAATAGTACCTTCCACTCACCCATAGGAAAAGTAAGAACTTATCAAGCTGTCTTTACTATCAACCAGACGTATTAGCACAATCCATTCCAACTTTTCACTTGGGTGGACATAAAGGCATGTCTGGTTTAATTCAACCAGTGGGTGCATGAGCTTTAATACGATAGAAACTTTGGTTTTACTTTGGTCTTTTGTGTCTACTTCATTATTATATATTTATGATTTCCTTACTTGACAGTAATATTGCCTTTTTTGCATAGGTAGGATAATTTTAAAGCAGTAAAACAGATCCTCCATATGACCTCAGCTAGAAACTTAGTGTACAGTTTCTAGCCTGAATAATGCCTACTAGGCAAAAGTCAAAATACTAAAACTATAATTTCAACTTACATCTATAGTCGTACCAGAAAATAATCAAATCTCCACCTTTTTTCTTTAAGTTGAAGAAAAACTTTCAATTTTGTCACAAGATTGGACAAGTCACAGAACACCTATCACAACTGCCATAACCATTTGTCTAAAATCAAACATAACTTGCAATATCAGCTCTTTCAGCCTTCAGCACAGACAGCTCTTCTTGAATGCTTAATTACATAATACATAACTTAATTAATACATTATAATTTAATACATAAAACTTAATTACATAATAATTAAGTAAAACAGGTTAACCTCAGAAATCAGAGACTAAGGAACACTAAAGAATTTAGATTACTAGAGTTACAAAAGAATATCCATGAAATAACTATGTGCTAGATTACATTTCAGGAATAACTAACCAAAGACCCTGTTAAAAACAAAATATCATTCATGGGGGCTCCGCACCATTATGCCTACTCCTGTTAACATTTCCATAAGAAATTACGTTAAGAGTTCTACCATCTTGCCTATTAAATTTCTTCTAGATAGCAGTTTCATATCTGGTAAGCTAATTTGAACAAAATTTGAAGGTACTGGTTGAATTGTAAGCTTAAAAGTATGATATATAAAGATGATATTTCATACATGTGTATAAAATAATGTTGACACGTCACCTTCAATTCCTTTCCCTATATTTTACCTCTGAGTCACACAATGAAAGCACAGTCATGAGTTTCAAAGTACAGCCCAAAGGCCTAAGTACCAAAGGAAAGGAATTAATTTATTTTCAGCAGCTCAATAAATCCTGGGCTATACAAAATGATCAAAAAATAAATAGTACAATGATATGAAACAATTATTCCAATGGCAGTGAAGGGGAGCAGAATATACCACCCCAAAATATGCCACCTTGGCATGCAGATTATTTTGAGCTGAAAGTAATCAAGACTGAACAGACTCAGAAAAAAGTTTTACCTCTCTCTTAACCACCTCCAAAGAATTTAGATAGGGAGCCTGGCCGGAAGAGCTGTTACCAGACATAACCTTTTTTATCTGAAAGACCTATTTGCATGGCAGGGCAAACTTCTCATTACCAAACATCTGCCCCTCTTATGGTCCTATGACTTACCCTCCTCCTCTTTGAAGCCCCAGACCCTTATCCCATTCCTTAGCTGAGAATAATGGCATATAAGCCTCAATTGCCTGATTTGCCCTTGGATCTCATATTTTTATGGGGCTTCCACACATACAAAATTTTCTCCTGTTAATCTGTATTATGTCAACTTAGTTATTAGACCAGCTAAAAAAACCTAGAAGGGAAGAAGGGAAAAAGCAAAAAAAATCCTATAAAAAAAAAAAAAAAAAAAGCTAATGTCATAGCTGTTAAAATATTTTGGTCTTACTCTCAAGTTAAAGTTATACATACTCATGAAGAAAAACGGAGTGAGGTTGAGCCACAAAGAGAAGATAAAATATTTCTACCTTCAGAATGTATTTGATTTCTACCTGATATTTCACTGAAAGTCTACCTGAGTTCCCTTGAATTTATTTATTTATTTACTTATTTTTTTAAAGATTTTATTGGGGAATTCGAGAAGGGGAACAGCCAAGTTGTTGTCCTTCACTCTTAATTGTGGAGGGCGCAGCTAGCTCAGCTCCAAATCCATTCCCCATCCAGCGGCCCGTTGGCAGCTCGTGGGCTGCTCAGCTCAAAGTGCTATGTTCAATCTCAGTTGCGGGTGGGCGTAGCCCACCATCCCATGCAGGAGTCGAACCAGCAACCTTGTTAGGAGCACATGCTCTCACCAGCTAGGCCATCCTGCCACCTGTTGTCAGCTCAGTGGCAGCTCAGCTCGGGCGCAGCTCACTGGCCCATGTGGGAATCAAACCGGAGACCCTGTTGCTCAGAGCTCGCGCTCTTAACCAACTGAGCCACTCAGCCGGCCCCAGGGTTCCCTTGAATTTAAACAGCAGAGATTAACTGCAATCTACTTGGGTCAAAAAAGAGCAAGGTAGGGGTGACCGGTTAGCTTAATTTCTTAGAGCATGGTGCTGATGGCACGGGGGTTGCCGGTGTGATCCCCGCGTGGGCCGCTGTGAGCTACGCCCTCCTCAACTGTGCCATTGTAGCATGAGGGCAGTGTGTGGCCAATGACCGTGGCTCTTCCCCAATAAAATTTAAAAACAAACAAAAAAAGAACAAGGTAAATTTCCAAATCATAGGACATTTTTTAACTGGAGTGAGGGGTTTCTCCTTCCTTCAGGCCATTCTTTCCTGAGAGAAGATAATCAAAGCCAAAAGCTAAAATTTCTCTGGAACATGAATGGTGTTAAGTATTCCACTTCACTCAACTGGCAAGGCTTTCCTGAGCACGTCTGTGCAGGGACTTGCATGAGGCTGTTACCCAATATGCTGACAGAACAGTCAACTGTATGGTAGCTGAGGTATCAAAGTACAAAGCAAAACAACAACAACAACAAAAACAGTTGCATATCAATTAAAAAGTAAAGGATAAGAATATAGCTACCCAGGGATTTGATGAAACATTTAAAAAAGTATACATTATTAATTTTTATGGTGAAATGAAATACTGTTATATGTATGCACATAAGCTATATATCTAGAGCTATATCAATAATATACAAGCTAAAGTATGCAGTAATTTAAAATGCTGACAAGATTGGAAAAAAAGTCATAATATTAATAAAAATGCATTCAAAATTAGTACAAAGATTAAACAACTATATGCTTGGCCCCCAACTACAACAAGTGTTAAGATGTTGATATTAAGAATACCCTATTTCATATCTTCAAAATGCCTCTAAAACTTCTCACATTAGATTAACTGTAAAGAGAAAAAAAACGGTTAACAAGTGAGAAAGTCCAATTACTTTGATGCTTTTAATTGAATGCTTTGTGCCTACCCAGGTTTTCTAAGGCTTGTGTGTTGTCATTGTTTAGATTATCCATTCTGTCTTCAGTTGCCTTATCTTCCCCATTCAAATTAGTTTCCGTTTCCACTGCTCCAGTTAGAAAGAGGGCTGGTGTTTTCGGTGATTCTATACCAGTTCCTAAAATAAAAATTGCTAACTTGAATCATTGGCAGCTAAAGGCCATATTAAAGTGGGCTTACTCCACTCCTGTTCTCGTTTCACAACCTCATTACAAACATCTCAAGCAACTTACATATATGATTCCTTTATTTAAAATCCCACGTGTGACAACCAATCAATTCCTTAAAAAATAAATTTGTTGGTAGTACTGAAAAGAATAAGGAACTAAGCAGTGGGAAGAGAAAAGCAAGGTCAAGTCGATGACAAAGTGGTACATGCTTCTCAATATAACCTCGAAAGGAAAAAGAGCATTAGGGGACGTAGGCTCTTGCTGCTGTGGTGGGTAGAGTGAGACATGCAGAATAAACTGGTCCCATTGCTGGGGGCTCTCTTAGGCTCTGGCACAACATCATAATGAGTATAACAATCTACATATGTAAACTTATGAATTGGAAGAGAACTGGAGAGAATTCCCCTGGTTGCAGAGATTCCTCCCTTAGCTACCATAGATTGAGCTAAGTAAAGCAATAGGATATCCAAAGCTTTCAATCTCAAGCATTCAAATCACTATGCATCTCTTAAACATAAGAATAAGAGTCATTTTAGTTATTTTTAAATAATCACACATCACTTATAAAAAGTATTCTTACAAAAATTATTTAACCTGACTCTAACTAAGTCTTTAGATCTAGCTTCTAGGAAACTGTGTAGAGAAACAAGTAAAATGATACCACAAGGAAACTATCAAAGTCATCTGGTGACAAATGAACTAATCCCTACAAAAATTTATGCCATGGGGTCATGGGTGAGGGATTCTTCTTGATTAAAAAACCAAAGAAACAAAACCCATGCAACGAGTGCAATGCATTATTAGATCTTGATTTTATGGGGTTGAGGGGGTGGCAGGAAGAGAAGCTACAAAAGACATTTAGGGGCGGGCTGTCCGAGTGGTGCGTTGGTTAAGAGCTGGCTTGGGACGCCAGAGGGCCCCAGTTCGGATCCCACATATGAGGGCCAGTGACACTGCCCTCTACAGCTAAGATGCTGAACAACAGCTCAACCTGGGGCTGAGCTGCCGTGAGTCGCCGGCGACGGCGTAGGCTGCAGCCCCTGCGGCAGTGGGTTGCCATGGGCTACCGTGTGTAGCCAGCAGCCAGCATGAGTGGCCAGCAGCTGCAGTGAGCGGCCGTCCAGAAGTCGGCAAATGATCTGCCTCTCCTGGGAAGAGCACAATGATGGTGTCAACTTGGCCAGTGAAGCAACTGGACTGAAGAACAAAAGGACAGCAACTTATCTGTTCCCCTTCCCCCAATTCCCCAATAAAAAAATAAAAATTAAAAAAAATAATAAGAATAAAAAATAAAAATAGAGTGTGGCGCTCTGCTTAAAAAAAGACATTTAGGGGCAATTGGGAAAATTTAAGTATGTGTTAGGTATTTGATATTAAAGAACTACTATTAATTTTCCTTGGTGTGATAAAGATATTATGTTCACCTAAAAATATATCCTTCTTTTTAGAAGCTACAGACTGAAGTATGTAGGGCTAAAGTGTTATGATGTCTACTACTCACTCTGAAAAGATTCAGGAAAAAAAATAAATAAACAGATGAAGCAAATATGGCAACATGATAACCACTGAATCTAAATGGTGGGTATTTGGTATATCATTTTTCAATTTTCCTGTATGTTTGAAATTTTTCATAATAAAAGTTTGAAAACTATAACCAGTTAAAAGTTCCTATAATCTCAACATAAGATTTTCAATCACACATGGGATTTTTTAGATTATGAATGCATTAATGCACACTAAACACATGGCCTAGTGCTAAGAAAATAAAATGCCGGCCAGAAGCTGCAAGTGTTGCTGGGTAGAAAAGTTACACCCCAGAGTATATAGTACAAAGCAGTACAATGATGTGATCACATGCTACAAATAGTATACAAATAGGTACACAAAAATATATATATAAGGTATACGAAAAGGAGGAGTTTAGAGGAGAAAAAGAAAGACTTGGAATGGTAGAGAAAGGTATTGTGTAAGAGCTGGAAACTGTGTGGTTTATTTCTGTGAAACAGACTTAAATGCTGACTATGTGGAAGGTACACGAAGATGTAACATGGGGCGGAGCAAAGGCATAACCACTCCCCTGTATTATAGTAGCCACACATTCAATAAGTAAGCACAATGGAGACTAATAAATGCTACAGTCGACTGCTCTACAAAGGGTGCTAGTGAAACACAAAGGAAGGACGCCCAAACCATGGAGGAATAGATACAGATTTAGAGTCAAAACTTATCCCAGTACAACTTTAAAATGTAGGCATGCCGAGTAAAGAATTGCTAATTCACAGATGACATACCTCATTTGATATAGCAGACTGAAGCCAAGGGCTCTCTCAGAGCTATTAAAACCATTATATTGATATAAATATTTATGTAAACCTTTTAAGGTCAACAAAGCATTTGTACAATTTGTACTATTTAGACAATTTCGAATGTCATACATACAATGCAGTTGACAGGGCATCTGTCTTTCGACAGCAACAGCAAAATTTCCACCATCAGATAAAACTTAAAAAGTTCCAATGTAAATACAAATCAATATCAGTTGAAAGCAAAAGCTTCCAGGATTATTGTATCTTCAGAGGAAGGGGGAGAAAAATGTATTCATCTTCTGATAAATTCTAATGGAATCTTACTTACAGTTATATAACTAGCCATTCATTTTAAATTGAATATGTGTTCCCATGACTGTCAAATTTTGTTGATCTATACATTTCTAAGTTGATAATTAAAAATTGGCATGCATACAATTATATTTTTGTTCCATCATGTAAATCTATTCTTATAATCAAAATAAAAACAAATATTATTTTACAAATAAAAATGTTCTTGATAGAAATCCATGTTTTATTTTCTCTTGCTCTATTTCAAAGGTAAATCTAGAGACATTAGACTCATATATCACTGGAAGTAAAATGAAATCTGAAGTTTGCAAAATGTCAAAGCATTAGATGAATGAGAGCTCCTGGAACAAAAGGTGTCAAAACTTTATTATTCAAATGTAAGTCATAAAGGAAATCTGGAAGCTTTTTGAGAAAATGATTTCCATCTCCATTTAGAGAAGCTATCAGAGCTTAATACGTGTCAGGGTTCACATTCTAACATTTGGACTGGCACATTATAATAGGCAAAGGAAACTTCTTCCATGCACAAATGAGCTGATGCATTTCTCCATCACTGCATTACACAAGGTGGGCAGTTTTTCCTTCCCAGATTCACAGAGCGACTTCCATAAATGAGATATTCTTCCAAACCCAGACTACATGGTAGGGAGAAGGACAGTGGAATCCATTACCTCTGTCGGAAGGCTGTTCAAGTGGAAAAGTTGCTGAGGGTGTCTTCCTTCGAACTAGAGTCAGGTGGACCACTTCCCCTGCATTTCGTAACACTTCAACAACATCCTGGTTGGCAAAACCCTGAATATTCACACCATCGACCTAACACACATTAAACAAAGGTTGCAAGTTATCTACTATTTTGTTGTAAATTCTGGCAAGGCAGAATAAAATTAGGCAATTCATTTTATTCCAAAAATAATTTGTATTAGACCTAAGAAAGCATTTGAATAAGGATGCAAAATTAGTAGTAAAACATAATGACAAACTTCCTGAGAAACTAGAAAGTAAATGGAAATTTGTACTAAGTCACACATTTTCACTTACAGCCTGAGAGAGGCAGAGGGTCTAATTCTTTGATGCTATTCAAATTCAAAGTGCCATGAAAGATAGCATACTGGTATACATAGTTCTCAAAATATATTAATAGAAGCCATTGTTATCAAAATTGAGGAGGCCATGCAATACTTCATCCCTCTACTATATCAATATGTCATATTTTCTAGAAGAAACACACTGATCTCTCTCAATTAGGTCTTCTAGTGTTTTGGAAAACTATGTGCAAGAAAGGTATTTACTAATCTAAGTCAAGCCCAATTCCACATTTCTGAAGTCCAACAGGCCCAAAAGACCTCTCTCACTCTTCTTCAAGCTAGAGAATAGTACTTTCTCCGTGTCCACTGCTATTGCAGATCTCCAGACTCTGCAAATCACAAGACATCCCCTAAGCCCAATAATGTAAAACCCAAGAGTCATGAAAGGTCCTTCCTTAGATGGACTTGAAGGACAATGATTCAAATTACATGAACTAAAAATCTATTCCTACATAAATCACTAAATACTAAATTAAATGTGTGTATATTCGTACGTGTGTGTGTATGCTGTAAAATTATTATTAAAATAAACTGTAAATTTAATTTTGTACTAAATGAAGGAAAGGCCAATCTGAATTGATAAAGGTATTATATTCTCAAATATAAAATATCTCAATTTTGTAGGTACTCAAAATTACTGTTAGTAGAAAAACTTTCACAAAGAAATAAAAAGATCTGGTAAAAGGCCTATTAATTTTACTTAAAAAATGGGTTAAAGAATACAAAGAGGTATTTGAAAGCCTTTTCTAGGAGAATGCTAGAGCACCTTTCAAATATATATGCATGTATATTAAAATATATATAGGTACATATTATTTCTTCCTACCAATATAGTCAGTGACTCCATTTTTCAGATAGTAAAAACAAAAACAAAAAAATTAAATTTAGGATCATAAGAGTCCAAATTAATGAGATTTCATTGTCGTAACAAACTTATTAAGACATTATGATACAATATATTAAGTCATTCCCCTCTCATACATATTATAATACAGATAACTTTTTTTCCCAACTTGATTCAATTCTAAAACAGAAGGCAGTTACTTACAGCAACGATTTTGTCATTCACTTGGATTTGGCCATTGTGATATGCAGCACTGCCAGGTATTATACTTTTCACATAAATCCCTGAAGCTTCCCCTACATAGTGCACAAAACACGGAAAAAGAAAGCAAGCTCTAATTAGGCCTTGATTGCAAAATTCATATCAAGAGGTTAATTAGCTAAAGGGGCTGCCTGGAGGCTTGATAAATAGTATTTTGAACACAAGCAGAGAAATTGATGGATTATTTCAAACTGTCACCATCCTAAGTAAACCAAATTTGACATGATTTGACTGATGACTATTTCTGGAAGAATAATCAGTAACAGAACCTTGATGAAATGCAATCCAATGTAAACTGGAATTCAAATGGCCGAGGTTAAGTCTTACCCTCTTCTCTTGGTCTAACACCCTTCTCATCATTGACTTGGCAGAAGCCTTCATCATTATTCACCAATACTATGACAAGAATCTCCTACCAGGTCTTTCTGACTAGATTTAGTTCAAGTTCATGTTAGCTTCCTCCCCAAACACAGGAAAAAAAGAGAAGTACATACAGTCTTAACAACAAAACAAAACAAAACAAAACAAAACAAAAACACCTAAAATAATCTCAGCAACATAAAATAATTCTTATATTATAAACTACAACATTTAAACAGAAAAATGGCTATATGAAAATTACTACTACATGAAAAGTATGCAGGCCTATGGGCGAGGACTACAAGGGAAACTGGAAAATGAAAAACCATAGCTCTCAATGATTTTATATTTTTATTTTTTAATATCAACTGAATGTAAAACATTGTAGAAGAAAAAGAAACATAATGGATTCTCATCATCTACCTAACAAAATGTAAATTTCATAGAATCACACTCCAGGACCGCCAAAATCTGTCCCAAACTTCTTTTTTACATTTCATCCTTCCAACAAGACACAATTCGAGACACATAAGACTCCTGATATTCCACCAAAATAGCATGTATTTTCTTGATTTTATCCTTTTTCTCATTTCATTTGTTTCCTACCAACTTCACCCCTTCTATCAAAATCTTTCTCCTTTCCCATGCTTAGCACAAATGCCTCTTTCTTTGTAAATTCTCCATTTCCCTCAGTCAAATTGAATTTTTCATCTGCCATATGATGATCGTTTGCTTGCATCTCCGGTAGAAGACATATTTCATTTATCCTTGAAGTTGAGTTATTTACATGTTTGTCTTCCTGAATAGAGGTTCTTATATTCATTTTCCTATTCCCTCCAGGGCTAAACAAAGTCACTGCTCAAAAGTTGCGATCAAGGGAATAAAGCAAAAATTATGTTGAATGACTACGTGTTAAAAAGCATACTGAGATTTAAAATGTCCTAGTTTTTGGATTCATTGCTGCCCACCCCACTCCAGTCCCAAAAACTTCTTTTGAGAGTAAAGAAGTTAAATGATTCTTTTCTTTATTCAGTAATGTAAACATTACATTTTATTGATTTTTTTAATCAGTTATACACTTTCATTTTACTCTGCCTGTTATATTGTTAGGTTTACAAGGACACCTTGAAAACTTCATATAAAGAGGTTCATAAGCCATCAGTTTAGGAACTGAGTCATGATTTTTCTAACCAGACAGCATACTAAGAGCAACTCAATATAGGTGTTTTTTTTTTGCAACGTTATTATACAATCCATACTTAGTGCTTTTGGAACTCATTTAAATTCTGAACCTAAAAAAAGTGGCACTTAGAAAAAGCTAAAGGTTTGAAAACAGTTATTTCATTAGATTAAAATAGCATAAGGTGGTCTGACATGAATTTCATTCAGGACTTTGAATACATTAGCACTTTTAATCTTTCCACCTGCTGTAAGTATACAAAATATATCTTTTTAATTAATTCTCTAATCTTGCCATTTTTTAAAAAACTAAAAAAAAAGTCATAACTCTGAATTTTCATGTTACTAGCAAATACTTGCAAAAGGCTTATTTTTTCTTACTCTGATGATTTTCTTATAATAATAGAGTAACTCTTACAGTGAAAGTTACCAAAGCTTTGCATGTAGGAGTTGAGAGAAAATGATTATTCAGATACGTGGGCCACGTATTTATTCTTACAATGTACACACTTGATATGAAAGGGAAATAATTCTAAAGTATTTGTTTTATCTTTTTTTGTAATTAAACATAATAACAGTAATATTTTTTTGACATTCACAATATGAACTAACTATGCAATAATCATTTTACTTTACCACATGTAAAATAACATAATATGTAATAGTCACACTATTCAAAATATATCAATCTTAGAAACAAGAGGAGATATAATTCAATGTTATACACTGAGTTGGATAATTAATTTCTATTGTTAATGACTATCAAGCCAGATATAAAACTGCTGAGATAAAACTGTGTGATATTGTGATTTATAAGATGTTTGGTCTTCATCCACAGTTATGGCTCATAGCTCCCCAAACCCTTGGAATTTCCTAAGTGTTGAGAGTGATATCAGTCTTTCTGTTATCTTAATGAGGTGACTTGTGGAAAGCACCTAAGGATGAGGGCTGGTTGCCAGAGGAACCAACCCTACAATTAGAGGTTTGGAACTTTCAGTCCCAAACTGAACCAGGAGAGGGGCTGGAGATGGAGTTCAATCACCAATGGCCAGTGACTCTGTCAATCATGGCTGAGTAAAACAGCCACCATAGAAACCCAGGAGGACCTTTCCCAGAGAGCTTTCCCACTGGGAAAACAGAATGCTTCCAGGTGCCGCAATGCTGGGCCCAAGCTGCACGAGGACAGACGCTCCTTCATTCGGGGACCCTGTCCTATGTACCTCTTCGTCTGGCTTTTGATTTGTACCCTTTAATGTCCTTTGTAATAAATTGATCTCATTAGTAAATGGGTTTTCTTGAGTTCTGTGAGCCGTTAATTGACCTCAAGGAGGGGGAACCTCTGATTTATAGCCAGTTGGTCAGAAATACAGGTAATAGCCTGGGCTTGCAAACAGCGTCGAAAGTGGGGAGCAGTCTTGTGGAACTGAGCCCTTTACCTGTGGAATCTGATTCTATCTTTGGGTAGACAGTGCCAGAACTGAGCTGAATTGTCAACACACCCTGCTGGCGTCTGAGAATTGCTGTTTGGAACTGGGTCTGGGAACCCTTTTTAAACCGGGATTTTCTAATTACCAAAAAGTAACTGGTTGCGAATATACATTCATGGTTTTATTGTTCAACATTTAAATTAAAATCTGCAGATATTTAACTTTATTGTCTGGGAACTTTAACATCCTTTACAATTATTTCCAAATATAAAGTAGAAATGACTCATTTACCTGTATGAGCAGTTCCAACATAGCCAACAATTCTAATCCCCAGACTCTGTCCATCTTTTTTAACGAGCTCAACATCGTAAGTTTCAAAAAGAGTAGAATTATCCTAAAATAGAAAAATAATCTTAATTATATATAATGTTTAGTTACATAACTGTGTATACATAGTCAATTTGTGCATGGTTTGTCAAATATTTTCTTAGCATCTACGGCAGACAGAATTTTAAGATGGTCATCACAACTTTTTTTTTTAATGCAATTTCTTTTCTTCTTCTTCTTCTTCTTTTTTTTTATATTACTGGGGAACAGTGTGTTTTTCCAGGACCAATCAGCTCCAAGTCAAGTAGTTGTTTTAATCTGGTTGTGGAGGGTGCAACTCAGTGGCTCATGTGGGGATCGAACCAGCAACCCTGGTGTTATGAGCACTGCGCTCTAACCAACTGAGCTAACCAGCTGCAACTTTTGATCCCTGGTACTATTGCTATGTTTATGTCACATTACATGGTAAAAGGGAGATTATCCAGGTGAGCCTAGTCTAATCAGGTACCCTTCCTTCAAAAGCAAGGAATTTTCTCCTGCTAATGGTAGAAAGGGAAGCAAAAAAGATTTGAAGCATGACTAGACTCGTGGTTTGAAGATGAAGTGGGACATGTGATAGGGAATACAGAGGGTCTGAAGGGGTTGACAGATATCCCTTAGCTGACAGCCAGTAGAGAGATGTCAGTCCTACAACTGCAAGGAACTGTATTCTGCCAAAAATCTGAATGAGTTTGGAAACAGACTGTCCCAAAGCATTCAGATTAAGAGCCCAGCCAGGCCAACATCTTGATTCCGACTTTGCAAAAATCTAAAGCAGAGAACCCAGCCAAGCCCACCCAGACTTCTGATCCACAGAACCATGAATTAACAAAGGGTGTTGTTTCAAGCCCTAAATTTGTCATTTATTACACAACAATATAAAGCCAATACAGCCATGTAGAAAAAACCTTGGGATTAATTTCTATCTGAAACAACCAAATGTAAAGAAAAATTTAGGAAAAAAATGATAAGGCTAGTAATTGTAATAATTATTGTGAATAAAAAATATTGACCTAAAACTTATTTTCATTACTTGTCTTCTAATTTAAAATATTTTTGTAAAAGAGCAAGGTAACTAAAAATATAATACCTTGCTTTCAATTTAAAACATTAACAACAGGGCCGGCCGAGTGGCGCGATGGTTAAGAACTGGCTTGGGACGCCAGAGGGCCCCGGTTCGGATCCCACATATGAGGGCCAGTGACACTGCCCTCTACAGCTAAGATGCTGAACAACAGCTCAACCTGGAGCTGGGCAGCTGTGAGTTGCCGGTGATGGCGGAGGCTGCAGCCCCTGTGGCAGTGGGTTGCCATGGGCTACTGTGTGTAGCCAGCAGCCAGCGTGAGCGGCCAGCAGCCGCAGTGAGCAGTCGTCCAGAAGCCGGCGACTGATTTGCCTCACCTGGGAAGAGTGCAATGATGGTGCCAACTTGGGCCAGTGAAGCAACGTCCTCCACAAATAGACTGAAGAACAAAAACGACAGCAACTTGTCTGTTCCCCTTCCCCCAATTCCCCAACACTGTTCCCATCCCCCCAATTCCCCAATAAAAATCTTTAAAAAAAAAAACATTAACGACAGGAAGTAAACAACTGAATTGACTGCATCAAATTCTCACTTATCAGAGCGACACTGGTCCCTCACTACAAAGTAGAGGGCTCCAGAGAACTACAGTAATGGAGGGAAAAGAAAATGGTTGCAACTAGTTTGGAGAAGAAAAAAAAAATGATTCTAATATCTCAGACAGAAAACTTCTACTCATATGGTTCCAAGTAGAGAAAAGCAACTTTATAGAAGACACTGAATGGCCCCTCAAATAAAAGATGAAAGGTGGCTTTCCATCCCCTTCTCACTATAATCACTTCCCTTTTCTTTTTTCTTCCTCCTTCCTTTTAAAAATTATTTCCTTCCTTTTGTCTTATTATCACTTGATTCAAAGCCTGTGAGATAGTTGGAAAGAGCTTGGAATGGACCAGAAAGATCTGAATTTAAATCCCAGCTCTGCAGCCTTCTCTTTCTCTGACATTCATTTAACAAGCTATTTGGACTTCAGTTTCCTCATCTATTGAATGGATGATAAGACCTATCTTGCAGAATCCTCTGAGGAGCTTAGATGACTTGACAATTCCAGGTGCTTGATGACAATTAATAATAATGATTATTATTATATAACTATAATGATTGTTATTGATCATAATATTATTATTATTGTCTATTCCCTTTGGCCAATCTGTTCCTATCAGTGACAACTCTCATGCATTAATCAGTTTTCACAGTTTCCGATCCACTATCTGGATGTCTCCTCACCAATCTAATGAAATAGAAATGGCAAGTAGTATTATTCTCCAAGTTACAGATGAGCAGCTGAGGCTCAGGAATGTTAAATGACTTAACCCTGAGAAACGGCAAAAAGAAAAATCAAACTTGTCTAATATCTCCAAATTGGGCTCTTCCGTTGCTTCCCTAGTGAGCACTGAGTCATCACGTACACCAATGGGGCACTTGGAGTGGAAGCATTTCTACTCTTGCAGTGTGTCACAGCCAATATTTGATTGAAGATGAAAGAATCATTTGTATACTCACAGAACTAGGGCTCCCGTTTGGCACAGCAGGCAAGGCAACAGGTAAGGCTGCAGGCGTAGGAGGGGTCACAGAAATTTCACCAACTGGGTCTCTTGCAACAAGCATCCTGACTGAATTCCCACAGTTCCTCAGTACTTGCGCAACTTGCTCACTGGTCATTCCCTGCACATTTGTGCCACCAATCTTCAAGATGTGATCCCCTGTCTGGAGTCTTCCATCCTTTAATCCAAGAGGGAAAAATAATTATTATGAGAAATCAATCATCTAATTTTACTAGTTAATACCAATTCATTAGGTTTTGAGTTGTAGCAAAACGGCTAGCAAAGAAGCCATCCAAAAATGCTGAATAAAATATATTTTTAATGCATGGCTAAACTGACAACAGAGAAACGGAAGTCTCTGTAAAACAAAATAAGATGAGGAATGGGAGAGCGGGGAAAGTTCAAAAGGAGAAGAATTGCCAGAATTCTAAAACAGGCATTTGTTTGAGGGTATCACTTCATGCCTTACGGCCTAGAGCCAGGGTATTACCGGCCACTTATACAAGGAAGAGACCAGAAAGCTCAGAGCATCAAGAAGGGAAAGAGGTCAGGTCAGGAGCCTCCAGTATAGAGCTAGGAACTCGGAATGCCAACAAGCTCAGTGGCACAGCTGAGGAACAGCAAGATGTCAGTGTGTCTGGAAGACAATAAGCAAAGAGGAGAGTAGGCTAAGAGATGAGTGCATTAATGGGGTCAGCAGTGCAGAGCATTTGCTCTCAGTGAGTAGGAACAGACGTCACTGGAACGTTTTGAGAATAGGCATGACATTATCTGACTTTTAACAAGATCACCCAAGTCTCTGTGCTGCAAATAGACTATAGTAGAAGAAACAATAGAAATAGAGATACCAGTTGGTCAAGTAATAATCTAAAAGGAGATAACAATAGCTTGGACTAGGTTAGCAGTTGGGTGTCAAGAAGAGAGATTCTAGATGTATTTTTAATAAATTGTCAACAGTCTCTCCGGATAGCTTCTACATGAGGTGTAAGTGGGGGAAAGGAAACAGAACTCCAAAATTTTAGCCTCAGCAACTGGAAAGATAGAGTTGGTATTAATTGAAATAAAGAACACGACAGTGGAACAGATGGGTGGGAGTAGAAATCAGTTCAGTTCTACAGATGTCCAGTCTGAGATGGCTATTCAACATGCAAGTGGAGATAGACACCAGATATGCAGCTGGATACACAAATCTGGAGTTCAGGAGAGAAATCCAAACTGCGTATTTAAATTTGGGAACGTTAGCATATAGGAGGTATTTAAAGTCATGATTCTGGATGAGTTTTCTTAGAGAAGAGATACGCAAAGTTCTATTTCTTAAGCTGGTGATATGTATATGGGTGATTATTGTTATTATGACTTAAAATGTGCACAGACATTATATATACTTTTATATGTATGTATATTTCATACACAGGAAAGTTGAAAACATAACATCAGAAAGTAAATCAGTTCAAAATGTTTATCTCTCCATTCTACCTTCATTAGTGAAATTTCTGAAAGAGCTTATCCGTCTACATTTTCACTAAGTTTGTTTTATCAGCAATTTTGAATTTTCTTTACTTATCTTTACTACAATATATTAAAGATACTAAAATGTAAACACAGCTGGTTACAAAAAATTACACCTGCAGAGCGCTTTATATGTTGAAAATCAGTTTTTGTCTTGTTTTGTTTTGTTTTTATTGTTAGTTTCAGGTGTACAGAACAATACAATAGTTACCCTTTTCACCCTAACCAGGTAACAACCCCCCTCCCCCCATCTATTGCCCTCCCACCCCCGATATCATGCTTATCTATTACAATTCCATTGAATCCATTCCCGCTCTCTACTCCATGTCCCGAGACTATATGTATATATGTAATTATAGTTGACATACAGTATTATTCAACATCAGTTTCAGAAATACAATGCGGTGGTCAGGCCTCTACATCGACTATGAAGTGGACTCCCCAAAAGGACATGGGTCCATCTGGCCCAAGAAATACTTACAACATTATAGATTATATTCCTCGGACTGCCTTTTTCTATCCCTGAGGCCATATTACAATTACCAATTTGTATTGTCTCATCCCTTCCCCTTCTCCTTCATCCCCACCCCCTCCCAACTAACAACCCTCAGTTCTTCCTCTGTGTCTCTGAGACTATCTCCATCCACTTCTCCCATCCATTCAGTTCCTTAGAATCCACGTATAAGTGAGATCATATGATATTTGTCTTTCTCTGACTGACTTATTTCACTTAGCATAATGTTCTCTAGTTCCATCCATATTGTTGCAAAGGGTACTATTTCCTTCTTCTTTATAGCTGAATAATACTCCGTGTAAATGTACCCAAGTTTCTTAATCCAGTCATCTACCGATGGGCATTTTGGTTGTTTCCAAGTCTTAGCTATTGTGAATAATGCTGCAATGAACATAGGGGTACATATATTTTTTCGGATTAATGAAAATCAGTTTTAATATATCATCTCATTCAGAAAAGGACAACTTTAAAATGAGAAAACTGAGATTCAAAAAGGTTGACTGACTTGACCAAGATCGCAAAGCTAAAAAGCAGCAGAACCAAAGTTCAGCCTGAGTTGTTCCACTGAAGATCTGTTCTCATTCAGTCATGTCTTACACTTTGACATCTCCAGACTAACATTAGTAGACAGTAAATTTACTGTTTTCTTATTCTCCAAGAAATTGCCAATAACTGTCTAAAAGCTTAAATAAAATGAAGATGAAAAATAGATATTTTGCAACTGAGATAGAGCAATGACCACTGGGCTAGTTCTAAGTTTCATAGTCCTGGCTCCAGGAGGCACCATCTACAAGTTATAGATGAAATTCAGAAAAAACAAAAAAAAAGCCTTAAGACTAAAAGTCTATTCCACATCCTTATTTTTTTCCGATTTTGCAAAAATCTAAACAAAGAAAGGAAGGTGTTAAATCGAAATAATGAGTAGAAAGTTATGTGCTTTGTTATGAACTCTGCAAAAGGAGCTAGAAGCAACTGGAAGTTGGAGAGGAACAGGGAAACACGAATGCAATTCACTTCAGGAACATTTGGAAAGACTTAGAGAAAAAAAAGTAAATACATAGGAGAAAATTATTATGGGGAAAGGAATAAAAAATTGCTGGATTTCTACTTTAAGCACCTATCATTTGATATTATATCATGCCCAATGCAACAAACTTGAAATAAAACAACTACTTAAGAAAAAGTCTGTGATCATGATGAAAAATAAGGGTAAAACTGCCCCTGAATTGAACTATCTTTGAGCAGAATTAAGGCTTGACCAAAGAATAAAGAATATGTCAATTCAGTGTTTTCGTACTTGGCTTGGCCAAAGAAGGGCATGTCACCATATTTAGTCACTTCCTAGGCAGTATTTCCCTATTTTACCTCAACTCAATTTAAAATGATGTAGATAATTTGCATCTGTCATGAAAAGTCAAACATTTTCTTCTTCCAGAAAAACAGGTGTTCTAAGGAATTCATAAAGTATAAAAATAATCATTAGTCAGATTGATAGGAAAGACACCAAAATGACAGCTACTTTGTTTATGTCTAACAGCCCAAACGTAGCATTTCATTGATATTTTCTGATCAGCATTCTCCTTCCATAACCTGTCTACTGTGCAAGAAAACTAAATGGCATAAGAGTCCTTTTGTTCTTTAACAGAAAACATAAATCAATGATAACCAATTAATAGCCATGCCAAGATTCAAAGACACAGTGTGCTAATCAAACATTCAAATAGAAAAGTTTAACTCATAGATTTTCAAAAGTGAAAAAACACCATGCATATAGACAAAGATAGTACGCTGTTGTGGATGATAATTTCAATTTATAAAATATTTGAAATCCTAAAGGAAGATAGGCCTGAGCTACAAAAGAAATAAAGAAATTAAATTTGTTTTTTCAAAAACTAAAAAACAGCACCAAATACTTTCACAGCTCAGAAAATGAAATCATTACTATTCAATACTTTTTTATTCCAAGTTGTTTCTATCATTGGTCTTTAATCAAAAAGCAACATGTCATTGACAGAAAAGTGATTTTATAAAATAAAAACTCTTTTTCTCTCAAGGAATTAAAGGAAGGTACTAAATCTAAGTACATCTAGCCTATCCAACTCAAATTCCCAGAGCCCTCATCAACTGATTTTTAAGGATAATGAAAATAGCTGTTTATAGACTCACTCAAAGCAAAATTACTTGGGAATACCACCCATTCAGGGGCCTCAAGCTGGTCTTTGCTTATTCTAAACTAAAAATTCCTCATAGTCTACACACACCCTTCAAATCCTTGCTTGCTTCCACTCCTTAGTATTAAAGGTTACTGACTAGTTATTATGACTCATAATATAATTGCCTCACACCAAAAAGTCAATAATTTATGACAACTTTTAAATAGGCTGAGTTGAAATAGTCCCTTTCTGGAGATAATGAGGGTAACTCAGTGTACCTGATTTCCCTAGAATTCCTCCAGACCACATGAAAGAGATTTCTGTAAAACAAAATTGTTTTACCCTGCCCATTATCAATTTAAAAACAAAAAACTTCTAGCTGCTGAAATTTTTTGAAATTTTTGCCATAATTGGACAGAACTCTCAAAGGATGTATACTTCAGGTACTGTGAATTTTGAAAAGTATCTGACAATTACAGGTAGTATAGGTCTTTCAGCTGCCCTTACAATGATACTATATAATTTCCTTCTTCATGGAATTGGCCCTGAGTACATTTACTGACTGGTCATGATAGGTGAATCTCCATAAATGTTTCTAAAAAGCTCGTATGAATCAATATTTTTCCATTTCCTTTACTTTACAACATTTGAGGCAGTAGGCAGAAGAACAAGTAAGGGATTTGGAGTCAAACGCACCCAAGTTCAATCCTAGCTCTACTTTGATCAAGCTGTATTGCTTATCCGACCTAATCTCAGCCCCCTTTGTAAGCAAAATGGGAATAAATTCTTTTCTCATTGAGTTATGAGCATTAAACTCAATACTATATTTAGCCTAGTGCCTTGCTGACAGCAAGGCAAGGCCTTAAATGCATCCATTTCTTAAGTCTCTTGAGGCTTCAGTGACCTCTGTTAAGTGTTCTTTGCCACATCCCCTCAACTCTACCCCATCTTTAACTATACTTACTGACTTATCTGTACACAAAAAGAAATATAAGGGGCTATTTTATGAAACCGTATTAAATTAAAAAATACTGACATTTTTTAACTTTCTAGTAATTCTTTTTATATTCTTGGGGAAAAGTAGTATTAATTAACCTCTTTAACAGAATGTAGGTATCACTTCATGATCAATTTGATCATATCTGAATTAATCACCTAAAACATTCATATTCCCTTACCATGAAAGTGGCCACAGTCAATAGTGAGCATTAATATTCAAAACATGAGTGCATTTTAATTAAACGCAATGTTCCGTTTAATTTTTTTTTTAAGCTATGATCAAGCTACATGAGCAACAACTGAACAACTTGCAAAGACTTAGCAACAATGTACAGAGTCAGCTGAAGAGATTTTATCCGCCATTAGCTGAGATGAGGGGAAAAGGGAAGTGAATATTGTCTATGTCTCGCCATATTCCCTCCTGGAAAGAGTCAGTAGCTCAGTTGCTCCTAGAGCTAGCTATTCCCTGATGATAGACTTGACCAACCCAGGACTGCTGCACTTCAGGGGAAAAAAAATAGGATCAACTTTGAATAAATAGATTTAAGCAGTAAAGCACAGGCATTAGAGTCAAAAAGATGTGGGCTCCTTGCCGATGTTGTCATTTCCTAGTTGTGTGGCCTTGGGCAGTTTCTTAACAGTTTTCATATCTATAATTTGGGAATAAAAATTTATGCCTTTTAGGGATTACATGGCAATAAGGTATATCAGGCAGATAACAATATCTGGCATAAACACTTGCTTCTCCATTATGACTCTGATGGATTACATCCCTACCCACTCCTTGATGACCTGAAATCCTGACAATCCCTTCCAGTAAGGGTGATAATCAGACCTGGGCTTTTCCCAACAGTGCCTCAAAGGGATTAATTTGGGGAACTCTGCACTTCATATTCTCCTTGTGAAAATTCATAATGCACATTAGGATATTAAAAACTCAGAAAATTCTTACAGTCAAGAAACTTATTTGATTCTGTTTAACTTGGTGTTTCTTTAAAATTTATTTGACCCTTTGTTTTTCACAATAACTGCTCCACTTTGCATCTTGAAAAAGGGCTACTTCAAGAACCAATCCTATTAAAATTGCTAAGGGGGGGGGCAGTGGTATGGGAAAAGGTATCACAATACTCCACAATATCTCATCCCTTTCCAGGTTACAAAAATTTCAAAAAAACCCGTAAATACCCGTATTATTATTTGCTGTATGTCATAGATGTGTTCTGAGGACCCACTAAAAAATGATCATTCCCAACCTTTTTGGTCTCAGAACCCCTTTTATTATTAAAATTACTGAGAATGAAGGAAAGGGTATTACAAAGGGGAACAAGAAACTTTTGTGAATGATGGGTATGTTCATTATCTTGATTGCAATGATAGATGATATGATAGTTAAATTTTATGTATCATCTTGGCTAGGCTATGGTGTCCAGCTATTTGGTCAAACACTATTCTAGATTTACTGTGAAGGTATTTTGTAGATACGATTTAACATCTATAATCAGTTGACTTTAAGTAAAGGACATTATCCTTGATAATGTGGGTGAACTTCATCCAATCAGTTGAAGAATTTAAGAACAAAAACTGAGGTTACCTGGAGAAGAAGGAATTCTGCCTTAAGACTGTAACAGAAATCCTGCCAACTTGCCCTACAAATTTCAGAGTTCAAACTGAAACAGAAACTCTTGCCTGGGTTTCCAGGCTGCTGGCCTGCCCCATAGATTTCAGACTTGCCAGTATGCACATGTCAAAATTTATTAAATTGTATACATTATATATGTGCAATTTTTTATGTCAATTATACCTTAGAAATTACTCAGAATCTCAAAGAGCTTTTGTATATGTGGTTCTCTTTTAATATGTTTGTTGATATCTACTGAATTAAAAATAATATTGAGAAATTTTTTAACATGTCAACATATAAAAATACTTATGTATGTTGATTTACATATTTTTATTTTAAAAGAGCTATGTTTTCTAAAACAAAAAAAATGTAAGAGTAGTGGTACTTAAAAATATTTTTGCAAATCTCTTTAATGTCTGGCTTAAAAGCAGACAGCTGGATTTTCCATATTTGTTTCAGCATTAAATATGTTGCAATATGTTGTTTTGGTTAAAACATATATATATATATATATATGTATAAAACATATATGTATAAAATAAAAATCTAGTTTCAATCAGACATATAGTTGGAAAATGGGCCTTTTCAGCCCATTCTTCTTTGATAATACAACAAAACTTGACAAGTAGTGGTTTCCTAAAGAACAGTTGCAATGTGGAATCTAAAACTACATCAACAAGCTCTCAGACACTGTTTCATTAAACTTTATTGATCTACCTTGAATTATGAATGCATTATAATATAATATAAAAAATATGAATATTTTGCCTGTATGTTATTTTGTCATATTGCACATTGGTCTTCAGAAAATATTGTTTCACAGAACTATGCAGATCTTCCAAATATTGACATATTATATTATATAACATAAAAAATACATATTGATTAATATCACCAACAATCTAATCAGAAAATTTCTAAAAATTAAATGTAATATTTAATATTTTCTTCAACGTAAAATGAAGCAGAAACAGTTGATAAGTTTTTAAATGGGCCACTTTCAGTTTAAACACTGCTAAATAATGAAGTATAATCATTTGATTTGTCATGCCAGAAATTTTTAATTCAAGTGAAATTTACCATATTGGGACAACTGTTTATAATTACTGTATCCTGTGATTTTTTACCTTTAAGCCCTTCGAAGTTACACTGGGAGAGAATAATACAGATATTCAAAATACAATACCCATTAATGACCCTTTTTAATAAAAAAAATACTGTCCTCTAATGGAATCAAGAAAACCATCAATCACAGGCAAAAAACCTCCAAAAATGTTGATTTAGAACTCTTTAAAATAAAGCAGAGTGAGTGTACATGAACATTTATGGAGAAAAACATTTTTAGCTATACTTAGGAATCACATATCCTAGTAACCTAGGTTATAAAATTACATTTCAAGCCATACAATTTAAATTGCCTCAAACCAAAATAAAAACAAGGAAGATCCACTTACTCGATCTGCTAATCCTCCAGGAACTATAGTCCTCACAACCACACCACTTGATTTTCCTCCAACTATTCCAAAACCTAATCCAGAGCCATCATTAATGAGCTCAACATCTTCAATATGGCCCCAGCAAACCTACAAATTAATGGCAAGTAAGTGGCAAAGTGTTAGTAAAACACACAGATTCTTAACTTCCCAATACAGTAATTACACAACATATTAAACATGCATACAATTAATCAAGACAACTTTCTAGAGACTAAGAGATGTATAAAGATGATCATAGGATCCCTGCCCTGAAGGATTTTATAATCCAATAGAGAGATAAACTAAAACATAAATAATTAAAATACAAGACAGAATATTGGATCGTAAGACACTCTAAACTCTAAGAGGACAGAAACACGTCTCATTCCCCAGTCTATGCCCAATATTTATCACAGTGCCCAGCACACAGTAGGAACCAATAAATATGTTTTTATCTGAATAGAATCACAAAATATTATAAAGATTGCAGGGAGGTGGATGCAAACAAGTCAAATCCAATCAAGAATTATGGAAAGCTTCAAGGAAAAGATGGTATTTTAATTGCACTACAGAGGGAAAAAAATACATTCAAGCAAAAGGGAAATGTAAGAGCAAAGCTGGGTGTGGATAAGCCAGTGGGAGTAATTGAAGGTTGTAGAAGAGGTAATGACAGGAACAAAGCAGTGGCTTAGGAAGATTAATCTGGCAGCAATGTGAAGTATGAAATAGTGAGAAGGACACGAGGCAATGAGACTAATTTAGGAGATGCTTATGAGGGAGAGGGAAGGTAGGCCCAACTGAAGATACTAGCAATAGGATTACATAAATCAGACAAAGAGATGACATTTTTCCTCTAACCAGCAGGCTTCCATCAGAAACATGCGTTCAATTCACCAAATTCAACTGCAGAAGAAAATTCTCCCTCTCAAGATCATTAGGGCATACTTATTAGTTTTTCGAAGTACTAAATTGGAAAGCTACTATACAATGTTAAAATAACCAGGAATATTGGTAATATCTAATACATTTATGTCTGAAACAATATCTAGTTTCTGGGAAGCAACAATGTACACTAAAATATGCCAAAATTAATAGCAGCTAATATTCACAAATTATTTACTTTGCACCAGGCACTGTACTTAGCCTCTTCACAGGCATTCGCATTTACTCCTCACAACACTTCTGTGAAGTAGACGCTGTTATTAGTTTCAAGTAACAGATGAAGAAATTGAGCCAGGAGAGGTCAAGGAATCTACCCAGTATGACACAGCCAAGAAGTAGAGAACTGGAGTTGAACCCACTTTAGCTTGACTCCAGAGCCCTTGTTTTTAATCACTATGCTAAGCAATTTCCCACTTTGTTCATTCTATTTATTATGTAAATTGTGCTGTATAAATATTACTAATTGCAACAGGGAAAATGGCTATACATTAATTTGTGTTGTGACCTTGCACTGTACCCAGACAGTCTATTTTTTATTTTGTCCCAATGAATGAAAATTAAATAAATCAGCTAGCACTTAGTGTTATAAGAAAATAAGATTTATTAGCTTGCATTCTGAAGATACGGGCCAAAATCTACAAAATGTTATTAAGCAGGTTTAAAAATTCCCAAAAGAGACATATATTTTTATTCTTTTGAACTGCTGTGCATATATCCTTCCATAAAAAAAAGAAAAATTTCTATAATTTTGCAGTATCAATAATCTAGTCATAAACACCCAATAATTTACAAAAATAAAGCTTTTGAAATAAATAACCAAATCTTAAGATACTCAATAGTAAATCTCTAATAAAAACTCTCAGCTTAATTAATTAGCTGGCTGTATCACAAAGGAACACAAGACTCCATCACCAAATAAATTGTACCTAATATTACAGTTTACCCTTTATATGAAGTAATCATCTTAAATGAGGAGAATCACAGAACATTTAAAAACAAAAACCTCCATGAAATATCTTGTTTAATATGCTAATACTGCATTTGGAGACACGATCATCTTTTTTAAACTATGACAAGTCAAATGACACCTTCCAAATGTCTTAAAATCAATGCCGTAATTCGAAATTAAATATTGTTCCAAATTTGCAACTCACTGTTTCAGGCAGAATAGTATCGGTTAGGCTGGTAGAAGTACTGCTTTTTGTATGGACTGGTTCCCGGGCCACAACCAGACTCAAAGATCCAGTGGTTTGTTGTAATAATGCAATTGCTTGCTGATGGGAAATGTTCTGATCCAGTGGCGTGTGATTAATAGCCAATATTTGGTCATTTTCCTTTAACCTTTGATCCCTTGGTGAAATAAAAGAAAATTTTAAGTGATATAATAGCCCGATTTTTAGGAACCTATTATTCATGTTAAATAGTCTTTTTTATGATACTACTTCACTTAGTACATTTAGCCAAATATTTAATTATGTAACAGAACTCTTTAGCGTGCTTTTCATCAAAGCATTTATTAGCTAATTAACCAACTAAGTAGTACATCTCTAAACATACACACACGTTTTAAAAGCCATTTGGCTAAAAAAAAATAAGCAAAAACAACATATAGGGCCCCACTGCCAAGGTTTTGCAAGTATGGGCATACTGCCCCCATTAACTGCATGAATCTTGTACTCCTGACCCCCTTCCCATCTGACTTCAACATATATCACACTGAGGTAACTATATTCTCAGATTCACCAATAACCTCTTCTCTAGCATGCACCACGTCCCCATTGTACTTCACTAACATATCAATAGAGGCCAAACCCTCCTTGAAAATCCAGAAATTACTTCTAAAGCTGTATCTGAACCCTTCTCTCTTCTCTAAGCACCAATTTCCCAACTGCTAACCAAAGTAAAAAGGACTATTTTTAAAAATTAGCAAAATCTCTTTAAAAAAACAAACATTATTACAGTCAATATTTACTGAGCATTTATTATGGGCCAGGTACTCTGCTAAATGCTTTATATGTATTATCTAATCCTCACAATCACCTATTGAAGTACTTAAATTTTACAGGCCAGAAATGGAATCCTAGACAAGCTTAGCCTCTTATCTAAGTAGTCTGACTCTGAGCATACTCTCTAACTGCTTAAATTAAAGGGCATCCTAAAGATATCCTAGGATTTACTCTGTTCTGGGTTACTGTATTTGACTTTATTATCTTCTAACCACCACTCCTCTTCTTCCTGTTTCCTCATTATTACCACAATGCTTCTAGATCCTTCTTTATCTCTCTTGCATCTACCCATCTCCACCTTTTGTTCCCAATGTCAACCCTCCAGCTGAGACCCTTACATAATACCTAAGACCTAACTTGCAGTATTTCTCAGGGTTTCTTTTTCTAGGCTCTCTTGTGCTGGTATTTGCCAACTCAAAAATGCATAATGATTATCTATATTTATTGACCAATGCGGAGAGAGCCAAAGCAAAGAAAACAAACCCCTGTCATGATTATATCATAAAAGGGCAATTTTTTAACCTTCAAAGTACAAAAATCTCCCTGGTAAGAGATTTACCTCAGGAAAATTTATTTATTCTAATTGACTAATTCCAATTCATAAATTTGAATTCTGAAAGTTCCATTATATTGCCCTTTTTTTTCTCAGGTCACACCAGATTCAGCAAAACCTGGTCAAAAGCCAGAATTTGCTAATTTCTGACATCTAGGACGCCACGTAAACTTGTTGGCATTCAAAGGCCTCTATGTTTAGCCCCAAAGTACTCTTCCAACTTGGCTTCCTCCCTACATAAACCTTTTTCCAGCTATTCTGGTCTACTCTGTACCTCTCAAACATATCTGGCACTTCCTGCTCTTGTGTATAAATGGTTTCCTCCACCTCTAACGCCCTTCCACTCAGCTCAGCCAAATTCACTCTACACACGGGTATCCAGCTGAGTGTCCCTCCCCCTCTCTCCCTCTCACCTGCCTCATTATCAAGGTGCTCTGAATCACTCCTTTATCATTCACTGAATATTCATTTACATTAAGTATGTTATCAACAGGGCTAGCTAACTCCTGTATGACATTTTAAGTTTTCTGAGGACAGGGACTGGTACCTTTTAGATTCGCCTTTGGAACTAGCAAGTTGGATAATTCAATTTTTGATGCCAAAATTGTGGGTGGTTCTCACAATAGACCATCTACCATTAAAAATGTTGCTTATGCATCCTTTTATTAGTATTAGGAAAGGTTTATGTTATATTAAGAAATAAGAATAAGATATAAAATTGTATACATACTATGACCTTGTCTTTATAAAAAAAATATATTCTGATGTTTTTCCTCGTTTTCTCAGGTCAAAGTTCAAGAGGTTTTTTTGGGAGGGAGGGGATTGATTACTGTATTTTGATATTTTGTATTTTTCTATTACATGCATGTATAATTTTCACAATGGTTTTCATAATTTTGAAATATATATATTTTTAAATTGAGACTGTTGTTTGTGAACTTTTCCCAAGTCCTAAAGAAACATTTATTTTTAAATGTGACCACAACAAGACAACATCCAGGAATCACTCCAATTTTCCCATCTCGAAAGTACTCTTTTCTCTAACTTCTTCACAGCTTGTTCACTAAGGAAAATTGCTTAAACCCAAATGAGTCAATTCTTGATTTTTCAACCCTCATGTAACTAATTTTGCATAAACTTGTCCTTAATTTACTCACACTCAGATTTTTTATTTTCTGGAAATCAATCTATTTTAATCTAACTTTCCCTCTACCCAGTAGAGCTCAAGACATCTCGCTTCTTTCCAGTTAATATCTGCTCAGGGAATATAAACTCAACCCAAGATAAACAAGCTACAGAGGAGAAGTTTCCTGGAAAATATGATTTTGATACATTCTGAAAAGTTAAATAATTAGTTTTACTACTATTATTTATAATTTAACTCTATACTATACTTCTCTCTTCTCTCTTTGCGTGTGTGTGCGTACGTGTGCGTGTGTGTGCGCGTGCGTGTGCGTGTGTGTGTATGCACATATGTATATGTAACTGAATTCACACTTTCCATTCATGGGGAAACCAGTTCTTGCCTCTCCATTGCAACATTCAGAAATAATGGATTTCCACAATTTTGAGATTCAACAGGTCTTAGGAAAGCTCCTAAAATAACACAGTTCTATGCAGAAAGTCCTAAGAAGAAAGGAAGAACTGATCATAAAGACCATTTAATAATTATCTAGAAGGTCCTACATGGCTGGCATCTACCTGTCTCTAGCCCCCCACCCCCTTTTTTAAAGATTTCATTAGGGAATTGGGGGAGGGGAACAGTGTTGGGTAATTGGGGAAGGGGAACAGCAAATTGTTGTCCTTCAATCTTAGTTGTGGAGCGTGCAGCAAGCTCAGCTCCAAGTCCAGTCGCGCCGCTCAGCTCAAGATGTTGTGTTCAATTATTTGCAGGTGGGCATAGCCAACATCCCATATGGAAGTTGAACCAGCAGCCTCATTGTTAAGAGCGCATGCTCTATCCACTGAGCCATCCGGGTGGCAGCTCAGCTCAAGGTGCCAAGTTCAGTCTTAGTTGCAGGTGGGCATAGCCCACCATCGAACAGGCAGTCTTGTTGTTAGGAGCACGTGCTCTCTCCAGCTGAGCCATCCAGCCACCTGTTGGCAGCTCAGCTGCAGCTCAGCTCTGGCGCAGCTCACTGGCCCATGTGGGAATTGAACCAGCAGCCCTGTTGCTCAGAGCTCGCGCTCTTAAGCTAATTCTTAACCAACTGAGCCACTCGGCCAGCCCCTTCTAGCCCCTTTTTGAATCGTCTTGCTCTAAGCTCCCACACCAGATATGTATCGACCACATTCCAAGGATATGAGCTGTGTTCCATCTCTCCAAGGGCTGCTGGTCAAGAGAATCTCTTCCTCTTCCCTGACACCTGCTGCTCTTGGCAGACCCTACTATCTCCTTTCAAATTGCCTTCAGGCACCACGGCCTCTGGGAAGCCACCTGACTCCTTCGCCTTAGTTAAGGTTCTTTACGCCACACACTCAAATATCAAACTCCTCTTTTTGGCAGGCGAGAATTCTACCACTGAACCACCAATGCTTCCAAACTCCTCTTTTTGGAATCACTCATCTGAATTTGTAATTACAGACTATAAGTACAGTGTAACTGAGACATGAGGATTGACCACAAAAAGGTTGCACAACACTGAAAGTACACTAAAAACTACTGAACTATATACACTTTAAAATGGTGACATTTGTGTTATGTGAATTGTATCTCAATAATAAGATAGAAATAAGATGTTTAAAAAGTTGGGCCAATCAAAGTTAAATAGGCTTTTTGTCAAGGAACTTTATAACCTTAAGGAAGCTAATGTTAAGTGACCCTATGTCCAGGTTTGCTTTGGATTGTCTAGGTTTGCCAGAATAGTTCGAGTTTACACCTGCTGTCTCAGTGTCATTATTAATAGCGCACCCTCTCACTCTCAAAACTATCTCAAGTTGGATAATAAATTATACGATTACCTAACTGTGTATGCCCAATCTCCAAGAACAGGAAAGAGATTCTCAAAGATACCTGACCACTGCTATGGTTTCTCAGAATGTATTTGAAGAAATCCTGCATTAGATGGCAGAACAAAGATACAAAGTCAAGGAAATGCCATTATTTCTGAATTTTCAGTTGGGGAGACTAGACTTGATCCCCCATGAATGGAGAATTGTGAATTCAAAAATATATTATTGGGCTGGCCGAGTGGCACGTCAGTTAAGAGTTTGCTTGGGAGAGCCAGCTCTGAGCAACGGGCCCCAGTTCGGATCCCGCATGAGGGCCAGTGACACTATACCCTCTACAGGTAAGATGGTGAACAACAGCTCGACCTGGAGCTAGGCTGCAGTGAGTCACCGGTGACGGCATCGGCTGCAGCGGGGCTGCAGTGAGCTGCCATGAGCGGTTGTCAAATGGCCGGCAAGCAACTGCCTCACCCCGGAAGAGTGCAATGATAATACCAACATGGGCCAGTGAAGC